TATAAAGATGGCCCATACATGATGTTAGTATACAAAATATATACTCTACTCTGATATATGCCCTTACGGAATACGAACTTGAGAGCTTATAAGCGCAACCGAGAAGTGAAAATATATAGAAAAGGCTTCAAAATGTCTCACTTTTTGCTTTGTGAAGCATTATAAGTCCACACTTTTAAGAGCTTATTTTTCCGAGTGCATTTTAACGTGACGCACACTTAATTATCGGTGGACGGCGTGGCACGCCCGCCTCGTTTTGGCTAGGTGTTAACAAATTCATTTCACTCGGCAAACTGAGGCACTGCAAAGTGGTAACTGGTTTGGTTTCCATCACCATCTCCATCACGTAGCTCCCCCCAGAGCCGGAGCCTTCATCATCGCCCGCTTCCTTCACGGTGGCTCTATCGCAGTCACATGGCTCTGGGATCTGGAATCTTGAATCTGGTGTGCCAGGGAGGCGGCAACAGTATTTGCATGCTGATTAGCCTTCAATGTCAGTCTGGCCCCGCCAGACAGGTTGCACCTCACTTTCCCATGGGGGCCTGGGGTCTGGGCCCCGCCACAGGTCTCCTGCTCCAATTTTCAACACTTTTGACGTGCCTGTTAATTGATTTAGAGTGCTGGCCAGAGCAACTCCATCTCGATCTCCATCTCCATGTTGGGCCTATGATTATAGAGCGCCACTTGCTCGTTATGGCCAACTTTGGCTCTGCACTGGCCACTGTAATGACTCTGTGCCGCTCAAGCTACTGCTGCTGCCGGTAATTGTTGGCCATTTTACTCTACGTGTTGTCTCATGGGGGGTTGGCTGGGGTTCTCCCCCTCACTTCCACATCGCCTCCGGGTCGGAAATGTTTGCCTAACTGCTCAATCGTGCAGAAATGACAACTTTATTAGCAGCTGGTGGGCGGCAATGACAGGCAGTGTTGGAGTGGGAAATTTATTAGAAAAACGAAACTAAAAAGGGGTAAATTATAAAATTTTCTTCTAGTAATTTCTTGTATTTTCAATCAATTTACACGTGGAAAAGCTTTAATTTTCCCTAAAATATTAAAATCCAGTCGATTTCCTGGACAAGGCTTAACTCCCTCTTTAAGGCATTCCTTCTCCTGAACTGTACCCGCATTAGCTACTCTAGTTACGACAGATTTTTCATCTAGATTTCCTTAGGAAAACGGCACCATGTGCTGGAAATTTCCTTCATCGAGCATTCCGCGAAAACGAAAATCATTCCAGAGATTCAGAGTACAGGATCTGGGAACACCTTGCTGGGTCATCGGATTCGGCTCGCCACTATTCTTTTTTTACGCTCGACGGGAATCGAGGACATGTGCAAGAGCAGCAGCTTGCCGAGGGACGGGTCGGGTAGGTAGGTATGTACATATGTCCCTATAGGGATGTGCAACAAATGAAACGAATCTCAGAGGGTCGGCAGTTGGTGGCCGGAGTAGCAGGTACTTGGATTGGACTGCAGGATCAGCAGAATGCCGAGAGCAACAGGCTGTACTAACCCAAATGGATCCTTTTTTTAACATGCAGGAGAGATTTACTTTTGTGTTTTTACATTCTCTGTTTTGTTCTTCCCCGTGGCAGCTGCTAGGCGAGAGGAGAGCTCTTAAAAATGGCAGCACTCACAACACAGCCAGGCCCTAGATCCTTTTCCAGCATCTATATCTGAGGGTCGGAACAGCCTGTTGCTGAAGTGGTTTCTAGACCAATGCCTCCTCATTCCAATCGTGCCCTGACTAAGGTATTCCTGTAACCATTCTGCGATTTGGCCAACACCCAACGATTTAAAAGCGTCCAAATCATTATAGTAGTCATTGGCCACTTCCATGGAAGCCGTCTAGATCGATAGAGGCTCGATTTGTATTCGTGTCTGGATTCCGTATGCAAATCAGCCAATGTCTGGTTGGCTAATAATGAGTATTGTCTATGGCCAATCGGAATTTCTAGCTCTCAGGGGCTGGATTTCTAATGTTTTCTGAAGAAGATAGAAGAGGTGACACAGTCCAGTCATAGGAGATTCTTTGCAGTTGAAATTGGAAGCATTCAAAAGTTATTTGAAGAAGGGTTACATAAGCTGAACAGATTTAATGGGAAATAATTCCACTTTCCTTTTCTCTCCTTTTTAATGAGAGTTCATCCTTTTTTCGGAAATAATCATCAGCCAAGAAAGTGAATTGAGACACGACAACTCGCCATCACACTTACCTTCCTACCTTGATATTTAATCAACATTAACCAAAATTATAGACATTCAAAGGAGAACGAGCCAAAACCACTTTTAAAGGGAGAGCTTAAAAAATAATGCGGAATCTTAACGATTGGAATGTTTGCGGCATGCTGTCGCCCGTTGATGCCACACACGAAAAGTTACAAAAAATTAAACAGACTTGAAAAAAAAAGAAGAGCTGACGCGAAGTGAAGCCCGATGGTCACCGGCTGCCCTGGTTTTGATTTACGTATCCTTTGTTTTGTCTGCAGTCGCGAAGCCCATCAAAATCTGGCCGGTCGTTGGCAGTAGCAGCAGGTTGAAAGTGGACTATGTAAAGAAGCGATCAGCGTGTGGCGATCGGAGGTTTTTAATTACACAAAACCAGCAGTTGACATTTTCGAGGCCCGGCATATGGCACGCGTTGGGGCACAAAGGTCTACAAAAAAATTAAGCTGAGTTTGTTGACACTGGGGACAGCTGCTTCGGAATAGAACTTCTTTTTTAGGTAAATAAAAGAATGCTTGCTTAGAATTTCAGTAAACTTAGATGATTAATATGAGAGTTGTTAGAACATACATTTAGTTTAATTTAAATAAATCCCTAGCGTCAATTTCGAGCATATGGCACGCGTTATATCAGTCTCTATTGACACTTTGGGGCAGCTGTTTGGCCCAAATGTTTGAACAGCTTAAAGTTTGCCGAGCTGCTGTGTTAACATTGCGCAAACATCCCGCAAACGATACATAGACCTAGTCTTGGCCTGAGCATTTCCGCATCAATGTATTTCCTTTGTGGCATTTCCTTTTCTTTTCATTTCACCCCAAAAACAAGCCAAGAAGTCACAGTAAAAGGAAATCATTCTGCTTCTTATTCTTATTCGCATTTCTTACTTCCACCCCAGGAACTGTGACGACTTCTGTGTCCTTTTGTCCTGCCAGGAGTTATTTTTTCATTCCTTTGACAGACACATTTCATACAATGGCCTGGCATTGTGATGATTTTCCATGGCTGTTAAATTGATGGATTGCCGTGCGACTTTTGACACCATACACACACAGAATTGCAATTCCCCCATGGCCTTGATGTACTGTGGAGGAAACTCCTTAAGGATCTCCGAGAAAAATCTTAAGCAAGCATGCATAATGCTGGCGACAACTGTCACGGGTTCTTTGGATCCTTCGGCTCATGCCTGATGCTCAACTGACATTTACTACATTTTTTGGGGATTTATATGCGACAGTTTTATGGAGGAGAACGTTAAAGTTGTGCTAAGGAGCCAAGTATTAGGCATTGGAAGGCAATTAATGAAGAAATTCGTTTATACTTTGATATCAAACAGAGTGTAACTGATTTAGAATTTGTTTTCTGTGAAATTTCGAAATAAAAATTGATTTTTAATGTGTATATTTTTTTTGTTATTCAACCGATTGTTCAATCTATCTATGTCTATCTTTGATATATCTGTTAATCTTATAATAGTTGTTTTCTTAGAGTTTGTTGCGTTAATTTTGTATTATTTTACAAGTTGTATTTAATGTACAAAAGGGCATTACCTATAGTTATAATCATAAGTTGGTCTATATATAGAATACCAACATCTGGCTACATTCTAAGACACACTTGTTTCACTTGGCACACCAAGTGCACAATCGTCCACAAATGTATCTATTTCCACCGAGAAGTTTTGAGTTTCTCCACCAGGAAGATGGAGCGAGGCGGAGAGCAAGGGGACAGAGAGATGGCAGGGCCAGGAAAGCGGACGCAGCCACTTGAGAAATCCACCTGCACGACTGGAAACGATCTGCGATCTCCGGCGATATATACACATACTACTATACACTATAGCCTCCTCCTCTGCAGTTATTATTTCGGTTGCGTGGCTGCTCGACTACCTCGTCGTCCCGTCGCCGAAGCTGCTGTTTCTACTTGAGCACACTGCAGATTACCCGAGTTGAGCCCTTAAGTGTGTTCCATATCGGGTTTATCATTCGCTGTCATTGTCGTCGTGGCTACGAGACAGCCATACGCTTGACTGACCCAACGAACGACGACGAACGGATTAAATATATCATTTTTGTTCCTCCTTAATGAAGGGGTTGAGCCGAAGTCAGTTCGCTTCGATGGCCAGTTGGTTGGAAGCTCTCTCGGCCAACACCTGAAAATTGCAGCTTACCCAAAGAGTTCAGCAAAAAATAAATATAAAACGGAAACTTTGTTTCGGGGACACTAAATATGCTGTATGAAGAAAGTCCTGCCATGGATATGGGGCTCCGGGGCTGGTAATAAACCCGAGCGCAATGATTGATATTGAGGAAGTTGCCCTGCGGTCGCATTACAATTTTAGGGAGGCTTTACACTGAAAGTTTTTGGGAAAATACTTACAAGAAGACATTACTATATATAAATTAAGATAATAATAATTATTATAGTAATAGAAAAGGAAACAAAATTAACAAAGAGAAGTTATAACATTAAACACATATATTTAGAATTATTTTTACTTATTCATTTCAATTGTAAAATAGCTCAGTTCAGGTAAGTTTTAGAAAATATTACCTTTAAAATTCACCTCTTTTTTCTCAGTGTTTGCTAAATACATTTGCATCGCGAGGATTGGCCTAATAAAGTCCTTAGCAAAGAGTTAACAATTAAGCAAAGGGATGAAACCCAACAGGGTGACTTTGGAACAAGAATATAAATGTAAAATCTAGGATATATAGAACAATTTCTTAAATTAAAATTTGTTCAGAATATCGACATTATATCTTAGTAAGCCATTTTTTGTTAGTTTTACTATAGTTAGAAATTCCGTAAAATGAAGATAAGCTGGCAAACCTTTCCCAAATTGATCATTGTGCTGCCCCTTCTGCACTTTATTCTGGGCCAACGCCTTCAGGCCGAGTCTAAGGAACTGAAGCGTCGCAAGGAGTCGGGTAAGTAAATAAATTAATTTTTAATCATCAAAGCCAGGAATGGAGTACTTTGTCAGAGCAACCTAATGCGGAGAATGTAAACATCGCGTGGCTGATGAGGCAGCAGGAGAAGTTGCGAAAATCCCAAGGAGACACCCTGTACGGAAGGAAGTAAGCGCACACAAATTACCCCAAGCCCAAAACTTATCGAGCTGAAACGGAAGCAGAAAGTCAAGGTGCAAACCAAAAATCATTACACCTGTTCACGAACACAACAAGCCGCGGCGGCCGGAGATGTGAGTGTAGAAAGCGTAGAAATCGAGTGGACGAACGGCGGGGAATAAAAAATTTAACGCTCGTAGTTTATCTGCAAGGGGTTGAAGAAGTTCTTCTTTTCGGGTTTTTGGGGTAACTCTGTGTATTCTTTATTTTCGGGGAAAATTGGTCACGGTGTATGCACCGCTGTTACTGTTGCATGCGACAGGCGACACAAATGCAAAGCAAATGAAAATTAATAAACTTAATGAGCGGCCATCTGCAAGTGGTTCGTTCGTTCGTTCCACTTGTTGCAGGTGCGCAGAGGATTTTGCACGAAATTGCATTTTAATTGTTTTTCTTAAATTTCATTTTCGGGGGCATTAGCACTTTTGCAGCTGCCTTTCCTTGGCGATCGGAGAAAGGCCTGTTAGGAACAGGTTCATAATTTGGGATTCAATAAAAGGGTTCAAGAATATAGAGGCAGCTGTAAATAATTACGGTTTAGATAAAGGAAACTATTTCTAATCCTTCGAGGCTTATTTCCGTTTTGTATGTATAAAGAAACCTTAAGTTTCATCCTTAAGAAAACTGAACATCATAATTATCAGGCTATTTAATGCAAATTTTCAGACTTTAGCCATTGAATTTTATTTCTCAAATTATGTTAATCTCTTAAGCGACCCCCATTGAAAACAGTTTAATTAAAAGGGCCTTGCCTACTTTGATCATCTCAAGGAAGTCATTATCTAAATCCACCCCTTTTTATTTAAGTATACAATTTGCACGCCTTATCTGCTGGAAACCCGTATTTCCCGCTCCGAATATATTTTGCATTTCGGAGGGGATCAAAATTACGTCACTGGGATATTACTTAATCATACATTTGACTGGATACTGCACTCACATATATATAAGATATATGCTTAACGTAGGCAGAGCACCTTGCAGGCGAGTTGGGGGAAATCGAAGTGACAGTTGAGTTTATGAGAAAAGGAACCCAGTGCTTATTTTTCGGCAATGCGTCAGATGCAATTACAGGTGACGGGGGCAGAGGATATGACAGTGGGCGGGTTGGGGTCCGGGGCGATCGGGGTATCAGAAGATCGGGTCTGCTCGATGACAACCTGCAACTGTCAAAATGTCCGACAGTGGCAAAAACTGTCAGCGAACGGAGGAGAGACAAATGTGACGCCATATAAAATCAATAAATTATGAAAGCCAAGGGGCGGCGGACTCCATACACCAGTTGTTGCATAATGTATTCTAAGGACGCCAAAAGGGAGTGTCGTCAAACCGGTTGCAACTTTATAAGGACGTGTCCTTAGGGAATCACCTGCATTTGGCGTTGATTGATTTAGTTAGTCGGAAAAGAAAAAAAGAGAAGCTCACTCTCTGCCCTCGGCCGCCGTAATGAATTAATTAATGAAGGCCATAATTAAATTTGCACTTTGCTTCTGGGCCTGCTGTTGCATGTGCTAATATATGAGTTTTTAATTATTTTAGCAATTAATGCTGCTTTTTGCCAGGGCGCTATAATTATTTCCTGCCAACAGGATCAACAGGATATGCTGCTCATTTGTCAGTTGCGAAGCGTTAAATCGAGGCAAAAAAAGCAGACCAACTTCCTTCATCCGAAGAGGGGCCAACGAAAAACGAAAGACTCAGGCGACGAACTTGTTTTCAGTTTTTGGGGCGCCGAAAATTTCATTTTTTTCTGTATACATTTTCTGTTCTGTTTTTTCTGCAGCTGCTGCCACTCTTTTTATTTTTAATAACTTACCAAAGGTATTATTTTTTCTGAGGCCCGACAATAGAGGCCAGCTATAGCTGCAGCTTCAAGTGCAATGCCAGCTCACGGCATTGTTCCAACTTCGAGAAAAATTGTCAATTCCAAAACTCAATTGTCTGGAAATGCTTCACTTGCAGCAGGTACTCATAGATCTCTTTTTTCAGCCTGCATACATACATTTTTTGGGGGTGAAAACCCCAGAGAGATCTTCTTTCCACCATAGTTTTTGGCTCTGCTGCAGGTGGACAGCTCGATATGTTCTCATGCCTCTGGTTCGGTACAGTTATAAAACTGTTTTAGATTTTATTTTCCTTTATTTTTTGCCTTCTCAAAACGTGGGAATGGAGTAGCCAAAGTTGATGAATAGGTTTCAGTGTCACATAAAAACCAGGTGGAGCTGGAACTATCTATGAACAAGCATCGCTTGTGATTTTTACCTTTTTGATGGGTTTTAAGCTAGCTTAGGGATTTTATTTTGCAAATAATTTAAGACAACAATCTGTAGCAAAAGTACTTCCATTAAAGTTAAAATATTATTATTTATTTCTCGTAATTTGTAAATTTCCATTGTCAAACGCAAATTTCCATTTTCTTGCAGCAACATTTTCCATTCTCCCTTTCTTCCGATGTACAAATATTTGTGTTATGCATTAAATGGACTGTTTTCTGTTTGCCCACCTCGCCTGCCTAGCAATTTCACTGTCCATAAATATTTTCAGCTCCGGCAGCTGCTGGATCTCCGATCTGCAATCTGCAATCAAATGACTCGACAACTTTTTACAAAGATTTCTTAGGATTTTGGTTTCTCTTTTCCCGCTTTGGCTTAATTGTTTGCAAATTAGCTAATTAGTTAATTAAGACGTGATTACAATGCGAGTGGCAAGGGCAAGCTCCTACCCAGGGTTAGTAACCTGATTTGGGCCTTCACGAAACCATTTTCAAATTTAAAATACTTACAAATTTCCGCAATTTCGACTTAGATGAGATATGCAGAAAAACGGAACGCCAGATACAAAGTTAAGACAAAGCAGCCATAACCATAATGAAATTAAGCCAAGATTTGGAAACAATGAGCTTGAACAACTTAATTGAGACGTTGCGGCTGCGAGCCGGCTTGCTGGCTTCTTGTCATTTATTATCCACAGATTTTTACGGCTCCATTGTTTTTCGCTTATACCGAGAGGGGGCTGGACCCAAGAATAATAAAATATTAAACGGACGCTGCGGCGGCAGACGGGAAAGAGCGAAAGAACCGGCTTTGGCTAATTAGGAGCTTCGAGGAAAATATATGTAACACCGAAAACCAACTCGAAAATGTTTCTTTTTATGGACGCTCATCTCTGTGCATGTTTCTGTTGTCTCCGCTTTTTACCGCCACTTTATGATGTCGAGAGATTTTGCACCTTATGAGAAAATCTGGAGACCTGCCGGCCATCTCCGCATCTCCGCATCTGCGCAGCCGTTGACTTCGCTGCCAATCTTGTTAAACTTGCCTCAGAGCCGCATTGACACTTTGTTGCGCTTTGGCTCGTTACAATCCCAGAGTTTCGAGCGGGAAGTCTGTCTCTGCTCTTTTTTCTTATTTCATTTTTTAGTTTGTGAGGCTGTGTATTTGAAAGTCCATTTGGCTGTCAAAAGTGTTAATTTTTAAGTGCCTAGTGAGAGTTTTTTCTCCCCAGCGATCTCGGCTCTGGTCTTGGCCAAACAGCCACTCAAAGGCGGCTTTCATCTCAGAAGCAGCTGCCGTGTAATTGTATGTGCACCGTTGTGGGGCTTAATGAGAGCACGGGTTCAAGTGGCAAGTGGCTTGTCTATTTTTTATTTGCAGCATTCCTCGCCCCAAAAGTGAACTCATTAATTTGTTGCTCCAAATGGGTTGCCAACTTGACATTTTTCCCTTGAAGTTTCCCCCTAACATATGTTGGTTATTGACCCAGCTTTTTTGGCATTCTTGTGTGTAATTATCAGAAGATGCTAGGCACAAAAATTATACCTGAGACGTTATACCTGATAAGTAGAAATGAGAAATATTAAAAGGTTCTTATATCTATATTATTTTCAAAAGCTACTCTGAGTTCAAAATTACGTTTTTTCTTAGCATCAGCACATTGCAAAGATAGAACAAATAATTTATCGATCGAAGTCCAACTTTATCTTATTTATTCGTGTAATTTAAATACCAATTAGTTGTTTTTTCCTGTGCACTATATTTATTTCAATTTAAACTGCATATTTATCCCATTTAATCACTAATTAGTTGTTTACACATTAGTTTTCTACCTTAATACATTTATATTCATTCTGTGATAAACCTTGTTCATAACTAACGTTTTTCCCACTATAATTTCCTGCTCACAGCTAAATGCTACCCCCAAAAATGATGGCCAAAAACCAACAAACCAGTAAGCAATTTACATATATATGTTTTATGTTCTGCTCAGCTAATTGCAAATAAAATGCTGACCCCAATATTAAGCGAACAGGAGAGTTAGTTGAAAATTCCGTGCCATGTGAGAACCTTCTTCAAGATGTTCCCCAAAAAGAAATGTTGGCCTTCATATTTAATTATTTCAAAAATTGCATTTCCCTTCGTTCGCTTTTTGTATCATTTCACGTACATATTTGTGGCTGTGTATCCCGGTGAGCGAGTGTCATTAATTTGGCCAACAGGTGAAGGGCGTTGGGAGGAGGGGCAGCAGATGAGGTGGTTGCAGGAGGCCGAGCATGACAGAGGAATTGGACAAGATGTAAAGGAAATATTTTAATGTTACCGTTATTTTTCCAGCAAGGCAGTTGCTTGTCCCCGCCGAAATTTTTTGATACATATGTCTGTCTGTATATGAAAATATTTTTGCCCGCTTCTCAAGCCACTTGGAAGAGGCTTATAAGCTCAATTAAGCGGAGTGTAAGCGTGTCCCGAGCTCTGGACTGACAGTACATGGCACTTAATTGATCAGCATTTTGAGTTGCGTTTCAGCCAGAGTCCAGGTCTCACCATGGCGAAAGCAATCCAAATCCAAATTCAAATCCCAAAACCGATTCGAACGCATTATCATCTCCATAATTCAAATGCTGGCTAGGACATTGCATGACTCGGTGGGATCAGATAAAGAGCCGGCGAAAAATTGTTGGCCACACGAGCAAAAACCGCCGCACAAATAAATATGAAGAAAGGCGCAAATAAAGCTTTCCGTGGCCAAACGGTAGCTGCCAAACGCTGTTGACACTTTTTTCCCCCGACTTTCGGAAGATAACGCGATGCCCTGGGGCTCAGCGTGAGTCACACTGAACGAAAATATAAAG